GCCTATTTAAACCCTGTATTTCTCGCTCAGCCTATCTCCGAAGATGTGCTCGAGTATGAACACGAAACGTCAGATGAATAAACCTTCTTCCCCAGAGATCGCCTCATCCTCCTCTTCCATATATATATATATATATATATTACATGAGCAGCTCGCTAAGAGTGCAACAGGCCAGACGCAGACAGCTGTTTCACGGTCGTTACCGATCGTCAGTACGTCATAGGCCTTATGAAGTGAGGTATGTAAGCATGTCAAGTGGGCGTTTGACCCTCACTGTAGTGGTTAGGATCTCACTCGATCCCATTCTGTCCGCCCGCCAGCTTGCTACTGGCGACAACGAAAGCTGTGTCAGAGGGCACATACCACATATAATACATGAGCAGCTCGGTAACGACCGTGAAACAGCTGTCTGCGTCTGGCCTGTTGCACTCTTAGCGAGCTGCTCATGTAAGATATATATATATATATATATATATATATATATAGGCAGAATAGTATTACCGACAAAGACAAGGGAGACTGGAATGGCCATTTCTGGCGATAGCCGTCGTCAGTCAGCCATACCCAAGCCCGAAGTGTGGAACACCCGAGCTTTGAACTCGCGACCTGTTGGTTTAGAAGTCCGTGATTAATCGGAGTGCATGGCTTCGGGAAACTCTCGGCCTATTTAAGAGGGGCAAACCCCGACGATGCGAGTTTTTTCCCATGCGAAGGTGTGTCCACCTGTCTCAACTGGCCATGCGCATCCATATATATGCATCGATATGGGTAAAGATTCGAGGTCTGGATAGTGTGTCGAGTTCATCATCTCCCGAAGAAGGCGACGAAGAAGAGAGGGCGAATTCATGGATCAACTTATATTTGAACTGACGTTTCGGAAACCCACTCGTTTCCATCATCAGGTAATGTCTTGGGTGTTCCTGCTGGCCTTGATTCAAGGCCTTGCGAGCAGACGCAGTTTTATCCAAGTCAGCGTTTCTGTCGGCCTCTCCTACGTCAGTCGGCGGACTGATCGGCTGTTACTGTTCGCGTGAGTCGCTATCAGCCTCGCGTGCGCGTCGGTGAGGCGGTCTTCGATATTGATCACGTAGCCTCCGGCTGCTCTTTTCCTCCTTCCCATGAGTGTCGGCTCTTGGTTCCGCGTGTTCGATTGTCCTACATGCCCGGCTCTAACTAATCCAAGCCTTGTGCGTAGCGCCTGGTACGCGGGATGCAGGTCCGCGGCTCGGTCAGCTGTGCCCCTCGAGGACCAAATTTCCAGAATTAGTCTGGCATTCCTAGCACTGGCTCGGCCGATCACCCTTACCTTCTCAAATGCCGCTATGCCTGACCGTAAACCAGCTACAGCCTATCCTCGCAGTTGATTACAAGCTGATGTTCGTACGGTCTTGTTCCGAGGTGTTTGCCCGTTCCATCAAAATTTTGACATGATACACTATAAGCCACCGCCGGTTGTTCTGCCATTGGTGGCGGGTCTTTGGACTTCATGATCTGCCGTCTGCTTACTGACGTCGAATTATGAACCACACGAATCTCAAAAGGTCTTAGGATTCTTGCCGTTGCCTCTGAAGCGTTCCTCGCACAGGGGATAGAGAGCCTGAACTTTGACTTTTCCTCGCTTGACCGCCTTGAGTGGGTTCCCCTGAGACACTTGCGCATAAAGAATTTCGGATAGTCGTTGACGTTTAATAGGACCTGTAAGGAATCAGGAATGCACCCACTCCTCATTGAACAAATACCCGATCTGCAGTGACAGAGAATGGTAGGTGACGAGGCACTGATGAATTTCGGTTCCATGAAGTGCTCGTGACCCACCTGCTAGACCCCATCTGCTGACCATCTTCGTCGTGAACGAGCGCATGTTTGTGTTTCTGGTTTCCCTTGGTTGTCAGGGTTGTGACTGGCTGAATAAAAACAGAACGAGCCCGAAATAATTCTGCACCAATCTACCCTCGTTCACTGTCATTCCTCACCCCTGATATATATATAAGCCAATGGATCGGTGTGCGCCCATTCCTGAGTGAATATATATATATATATGATATATATATATATATATATATATATATATATACTGCCAATAAAAGCGAAAATGCGCGTCCCCGGGGATAAATGAGAAGAAGAGGCGATCTCGGGAACCATAGGTTTAATAGCCTGACGTTTTAAAAGCAAACAAGTTTCCATCGTCGGAGGTGGGTTCTGTGCGGCGCCGTACAGAATCCACCTCCGACGACGGAAGCTTGTTTGCTTTTAAAACGTCAGGCTATTAAACCTATGGTTCCCGAGATCCGCCTCTACACGCCTACATGAACACCAATTGGCAGTGAAGAGGCGGGACCACTTGTCCCAAGTCGCCATGCATACTCTTGAAACTGGGCACAAATTCGCTTGGGATAAAACACGCATTGTCGGTTCCTGCCCATATAAGAAAGGCGGAGAATTCCTAGAGGCCATTCACTCTGATTATTCATGCATCAATCGACGCATCGACCTTGATACCATGTACACAAGTCTCAAAGAAAAATGGAAAAGGTAATAGCCAATCAAGACGTGACATCAGCTCACAGCATTAACCCATCCTCAGTCATGACAGAGCAATATCGTATTTTTCGGCATTGTTTAAATTTTGACTGTTTCTTCACACTTGCTACACGTCTGAAGACGAGCTGGGGAACCAGACTCGAAAATTTACGAAATAAAATTTGTGTATTTTTCCCAAAGGACTCATTCTTCTTCGAAATATATATATATATATGCACATATACATATACACATGGTGGGGGGCGTTGCCCTTCATTTAGAAGAGAAGGCTATCAACGTTTTATTGAATGCATAACAACCTCTTCTCCAAAATTCAGCTCACAAGAGGCGAAGAGAAGTTACGGCATCTGCCCTTCCTTGACGTACTCGTCACGCGCAGACTGAATGATGATGTGTGGAAAAACGATCAACACTATCCATATCCTCATTTATCACTGCAAGCACCGGATGGTGCACACGTGAAGCTGCGTTAAAGTACCTTTTTCAAAGGGCAGAAACGCACTGCAGTGACGCAAAAAGACGAGTGTGAGAACTCGGGCATCCATGGAACCAATTAGCAAAGTTAAGTTATCTCGAAAAATTTATCAGCCGCTGTCACCGTACGCGCCCACGAGAGGCAGAGAAGCGAGAGAGAGAGAGAGAGAGAGAGAGAGAGAGAGAGAGAGAGGGAGAGCGAGCAGTCAATGCTTTGACATTCTCTACGGAGCATCAACCATTTACCGAGGACGATAAAATGCATTGGCGAAAGGTTTTGAAACTAATATCTCCCATCGGCCGGCAGCTACCGTGAGCGCAGGATTCGGGAGGTAGAACAACAGGATGCAGGTCAAGAGTGCGACGCAGTTTGTCAGATTCCGCGCAACAACCGTCTTTTCTGCTATACAGACCAGACTGTACGACGCAGCAAAAGAAGATGCGAGCGCAAATGGACCTTTCAGAGAGGCGACTCGAGGTCTCAATCTGTTGTCCACACCCCAGATACGGAGTTCGGCGCAGGGGCGACTTGTGCACGAAGTTGTGTGTATTTACTCAGACTCAGACAGTGTCTACTCCACTCTCTCCCTCCAAACTCGCCTTCCTCAGATGGCAGGGTTCAGTCAGCAGAACCTGGGGTGAACGCGGGTGCAGTGCCGAACAAAGCTAAAAATCCTCTATACGCATACATCACAGGGCCTGGTTCTCACTTCATGTATCAGGCTACTGTAACGGCAGCTCGAATCTCACACGGGGGGGGGGGGTAAGGATGCAAGGCTGCATCAAAAAGGAGCCATTGGGGCTTGACTCACAGTCCTGAGAAGAACCGAGTTATCTTGTCGGCCGAGAACCTTCCAAACCTCGACTTGCAGCGTGTAGTGATGATAGATCCAAGGGTGTCAGACCGCTTATGGTGAGGGATGCACGGACTTGTCCTGAGGATGGATTCTCCGGCGTCGGCGCACACTCTCCTCCCCCTTCCACGCCCCACTTGACTGTCCGAGCCTGTCAGTCAACTAGTGATGAGGCTGGACACAGTGGCCAACCTGGCGTCCGAGCCTCCGTCTAAAGTTTGCTGACGCGTGTGGGGCCACTCTCGATTTACCAACTCCTGCCGGCTTTGTAGCATAGATTTCTCCCCTTAACTAATAGGTGTGAGGTCTAGTGAACCGGGGGAGGGGCTATTCTGTGAAATCTCACCGTCCAACCCACCGGTCTGGCAAGATATCATAGAGGCAAGCAACATGGAAGTGCTCCGTCCCGCAGAAAATAAATTTTTTGATTCCACGACAGACCGCTGCGGAGCCTCCTGCTAAATAGGACCAGTAGATAGGAACGAAGACACGGGTTCCAGGAAGCAGTTCAGAGGAAAGAGATGTGATCGCTGGAAGAAGACGCTATTTCGTCCAACGTATCATATCCTTATTCCAGTCCTTCATCGGGGCCAAGAGCAAATTAGGGCAGACAATGGTTGTAATACTAATTAACGTGTAGCCTAGTCCCAGAATGCCGACTTTTTAATGCGCTTCTTCACAGCCGCCTAACCAGATTCGGTGAAATGACTACTCAAGCAACATGAGTTTTCCCATTTTTTCAGTGGGCTTATGGCTTCAAGTGTATTTTATGGAAAACATTCACAAAAATCTTTCCATGTTCCCGCCTGATAGCGCTTTACGTCTGCTTCAAATTTTGCATTCAAACAAAGGGTAGCTGTCAGCCCAAAAAGCTTGTAACTATGAGAGTTTCAAAAACCACAAAATGTTCATTCAAATAGCATCGTATCGGCCCGTTCAATAGGGCTCCTTATGAGGCATAAGACGTGACCTATATGCATTGTGGGATTTCACAAATCATACATGGTCCGTCCTTAGTTGCCATCTCAGTCTCCCTTGTCTTTGTTGTAGTCTCACTCTGTATGTATCACTAGTTGATGTACGACTAGCTACGTAGCTCTAGACTGGGCCCCAAAACATAACGGGACGATTATGTCCGATCGGTGAACGATAGTTAACCGTTTATCTACTATATATTTGTATATGTGTATGTTGATACATCGCCCATACTTGCATATACTACTAGTCCCTATGCGACTAACTTTGAGAGCTCTGCATTTCGCCCTACTCAAAAACGGGACGAGCACGTTCCGTAATTCGATCTGTGAACGCACTTCCTAAATATTTAACACTCCAATCGCAAGCGACAGGACAAAGAGTCCGGAGACTCAACTATTCTTTTTAACGAAACTGTCCATAATGGAAGATAATGTCATTTTTAGAAGATAGATCAACCTAAAAACCTCTTTCCACAGACCATACCGAGGCTCAGATGTCATTTATTGCCAAGCGGGTGGGACGTCTTACAGAGCTAAGATAACTGTCAAGCGATATGCCGAGAACCCTGAGACAAACTGGACTGACCACTGCAAAGTCAATGGACTGATAAGGAGTAGGAACGACCGCTGGAACAAGAGCTTTATTCGCCTGACGCTTCGGATTCTCACTTGAACCCATCACCAGTGACAGTAACAGAAGCGGGTGACTCGTGCACAAAAAGTTGCAGTATTTATAGGTATGCAGTCGCTACGCCACTGCATACCTATGATAATTAACCTCTCTCATCTTCATTGAGAATTGTTGCCTGCCGGTGCGTTAACTGCTTGATAGCCGGCACGCAAGTTGTTAATTGCCAGAATCTCATTACCCGTGTTGAATGCTGGCGTGATGATTCCTCGGCCATGTGGCTCACCGGCCTGCGCGCTCCATGAGTGGTCACTTGCTTTGGCCAGACTATGCCTCAGCGCCGAATATGGAATGGAGATGTTACTGCACTTGTTAATAGACTGGGATACCATGAACCCGGACTCAAGCAACTCGCCGCTCACGCGGTTGTCATCTCCCGCAAGAATTTCGGCCTCGTCGAACTCGAATGTGTGGCCGGGTCTCGTCGAATGGGCCGCAACCTGAGAGTTGGCATCATTTCTCCGCACAGCTGCCACGTGTTCGGCGATGCGCATCCGGAGCAGTCTTCCAGTTTCGCTGACGTGGTTGCTTTGACCGCAACTACACCAGATTCGGCAAACGACTCCAGATGTTTCTTGCCGTGGAAGTGGGTCATTTGGTCTCATCACCTGACGCCTGGTAGTGGCCTCCGGTCTGTGCACAACTCCAACCCCAAGTGATACGAGAAGGCGACGAACGGCCGCGGAGACTTTCCTGATGTACGGGATCGTTCGCCAGAATTTAGGGTCGGTACGGTTTTTTCGTTCGTCTCATTTTCGCATGCACCTGTTGACGAAGTTGCGCGGGTAAGCTTTTTCTCGAAAAATCCGTCGAAGATATTTAAATTCGGCAACCTTGTCTTACGGTTCACTGCAGTGCGTCTCAACACGCCGACACAGAGTCCTTGCGCAACTGCTGATTGGGCGGTTGCTGTTGAAGTTCAATATTTGCGTCGCGTTCGTCGCCTTCCTGAACACCTTCGTCTTTACGCCACCACAATATTTGCGACAGACTAGGACATCAAGGAAGGCCAGCTGGTTATTTCCTCCCTCCTCCGTCGTAAATTGTATGTGTGGGAAGATGCTGTTGAGACTTTCTTTGAACGTTCGCGCCTGATCCCATTCGATGACGGCGAAGGTATCGTACACATGCCGAACCCCAAAGTTCGGTCTGTGGCGCTGGAAGACCAACGATTCTAACCGTTGTAGGACCGCCTCGGCGATGAAGGCGAGAGTGGTTAATTATCATAGGTATGCAGTAGCATAACGACTGCATCCTATAAACACTACAACCTTTTGTGCCCGAATCACCCTCTTCTGTCTCTGCCTCTCATGATGGTTCCGAGCGAGAATACGATATGTCAGGCGAATAAAGTTCTTGTTCCAGCGATCGTTCCTACTTCTTATCAACTAGTTCCTGGAACTCGCAGCTTTGATTGTATCGGCAATCTATGAGCTGCCTAGAGCTCACAAAACTAAAGTATCGTTAATCAGTATATCCAGCTACGAAATTTAAAACTGGCTATTATACCATCCCCACCCACTTACAAAGAACTGCGAAAACTCCATTGAAAAATTTACCGAGTTTCAGGAGAAATTACGAGGACTCACGATTTCTGCTGATGAGAAAATGGTCTCCCTCGATTCCACCCATTCGTTAACAGCCGTATCGCTAGATTTAGCAAGACACTGCACAGAAGAAGTCCTACAGTCCCACAACACGGATGCTCTCGCGAATGCCTAATTCGAATTCATAGAATTATGCTTTCAGAAAAAATTTTCCTTTGACAGCCACCACTATCGACAGCTGAAAGGAGCCCCCATATCTGCTTTTCTTGCCGAGATGACGATGTAGAAGTTCGGAGTCATTGCTCTTCCGCTAGTTAAGCATAAATTGTGACTGCCAGAATCAGACGACACGTTTGTTGTCCTTAAAACGGATTAACTGGAACACTGCACTACGCCATCAAGTCAACAGGTCCGGGAATTAAACTCACACTCGCAAATGAAGTTGACAACAAACTCCCATTTCTAGATTTTCTCGCACAGCGAAAGACCAATGCAAATTTAAGCACATCCGTTTACCGTAAATAAAGTTATGCAGAAGTGATTTTGCTCTAAGAGAACAAGCACCCTATCCCCATAGGGATGGAGTACTGCCAACAGCCTGTTTAATCGAGCAAAAACACACTGCTCTGACGAATAGCGCTACCGAGTTTAACTGAATAAACTGTTTAAATTATTCCCTCAAAATGGGTGTCTTGGAGATTTTGCAGGCCGATGCATGAAACGATAGGGGTTAAAAGAAAAACTAGGCAATTCCAGTCAGGCACCCAAACCAAATAACTAGCGAACTTTACCTTACATTAAATGTGTGTCTAAACTCCTTGAAAGACACCTGCGGAAGCAACAAATACAAGTGGCGAACAATGTGACGACTATTGTACACACTCACCTGGTACACCCTAAGCGCAGTGTTGGACATTTGGATAAGAGCGAAGTCGTCTACAGGACACCCGTGTGATGTCTGCAATGAAGTTTTTTGTGATCAAGTTGGAAAATTCGCCTCATCACGCGTTTTCGAACACCTACTGGTATAAAAGAGGCGAGACCCCTGTCCTGAGTGGTTACGCACACCCTAGACACCGGGCCCACCATCGCTTGAGGCCAAACCCGAAATTTCAGTGTCAGCTCTTTCAAGAAATTCCGAGGGTTCTTCAAGGCCGTGCACTCAGATGAATCATTCATCAACCAGCATATTTAGTTGGATACTGAGTACAGTAATTTCAGGGAGAAACGGAAGAGAGGACAGTCAACCAGGACAGGAGGAAGCACACAGCCGCTGCTTAATGGCACAAGATCCAAACAAATATCGATTTTATAGTTGCGAAAATGGTAACAATCGGGAGATGCCACCCAAAAAATCCGTTACCTAGAAATAATACCGTTAACAGTAAATTCAAACTCCTTCAGGCTATATCTTCGTGTGCAGGCCTACTTTCACGCACTACTTGGACTTTCCCCGACGGCCCTAACATGGGCTAGCCGAACGAACATCGCATGAGGTTACATGGACGATGGTCGCTGTTATCCAACCGTCCCCATCGTTACACACGTACACCTGAATATACGGCATACATTCGCATTATGGCAGTTTATTACAAAACAAAATCACTTTTAAATAGGATAAGTCCGCACAACATGGGACAGGAACAGTTCCCAGGCATCTGTCAAAGACATGGCATTGAGGTCAATCCACAGACGATACTGTACTTCGTCTATGTGAGCCAACACAGCTCGACCACATACGGGGTCTCCCTCGTGGAGTTTCCTTTTCAGTCTACTCCAGTATGCCTCAATGGCATTGGTGTGCCGTCCGGTGGTAGGGTCTTTGAAGTTCTTTGAGTGGTTAACAGAGAAATGTAGATAACCTTCTGAGGAAAGACGATTATACGCCTTCCACTCGTCCGTTACCAATATGCTGCCTTTGGCGACCCATTTTGTAATAACGGAACGGAGAGCGGGCCAACTTCGATCATTCACCTGTTCGAATAAGTCTTTCCGTCGGCTAGTATCGTACGTCCCGACCAGCCACCACCCATAAAACCCCTATTACCACCTGTCCCGTAAGACAGGCTGCTTTGGTTAGGCGGATTTTTTGGGTGCCATCTCCCGATTGCTATCGCGAAAATTCCTATGGAACAATTCAGAAAACCATTTGGCGAGCATACGCGTGCTTCCGATAAATTCTGATTGGGCCAGTACATTTATACGGGAACGAGGTACAAGGTAAAACGTGAGAG